AGTAACTTCTTTTCAAAAGATTGTTTTTACTATTCCCAGCTTAGAAATAATGCAAACCAGATTTATTTGGAAGGAGTTGTGATATAGTAAAGTAACTTAATTCAGCCCCCATTTATGGAGTTCTCTTCCACTGTGAGGACTTACAAGATAGTCCCCATTCCCAAGCTTACAAGGTGGTCAGTGGCTTCTCAGGTTGGATTTTTAAAATAACCATTTTATGGAGATAATTCACATACCATGCAATTTGCCCATATAAAGTATATAATTCAGTAGTTTTTAATATAGTCACAGAGTTGTACAGCTATCACCACAATAATTTTAGAACATGTTCATTTTCCTATAGCGCTAGGCAGCTACTAATCTGTTTTCTACCTCTATAGGTTTGCCTCTTCTAAACATTTCATATAAATGGAGTCATACAATATGTGGTCCTTGGTGACTAGCTTCTTTCACTTACAATGTTTAAAGGTTCATACATATCGAAGCACATATCAGTATTCCATTTCCTTTTATTGCTATGTAATATTCCACTTTCTGGATTACCATATGACAAAATACTTTGTGTTTATCAGTTGATGTTTGGGTTGTTTCTACTTTTTGCTATTAATGAAAAAATATGCTATAATTATATAATAGTCAAATACTGGAAATAACTAACCAGTAGTCTTTCAGTGGGCAAATGATTAAACAAATGATACAGCCATACCATAGAATAGCATTCAACAGTGAAAAGGAACAAATTATTGATATGACAGCCTCTGTAAATCTTCAGTAAGTGATGCTGAGTGAAAAAAGCCAATCCCCAAAGGTTTTCTATATTGCATATTTTCATTTGTATAATATTCTTTTTTTTTTTTTTTGGACAGTCTCTGGCTCTGTCGTCCAGGCTGGAGTGCAGTGGTGCGATCTGGGCTCACTGCAACCTCCGTCTCCCGGGTCCACGCCATTCTCCTGCCTCAGCCTCCCAAATAGCTGGGACTACAGGCTATAATCCCAGTCAGTAATCGCTGGGAGGCCGAGACGGGCGGATCACGAGGTCAGGAGATCGAGACCATCCTGGCTAACACAGTGAAACCCCATCTCTACTAAAAAATACAAAAAACTAGCCGGGCGAGGTGGCGGGCGCCTGTAGTCCCAGCTACTAGGGAGACTGAGGCAGGAGAATGGCGTAAACCTGGGCGGCGGAGCTTGCAGTGAACTGAGATCCGGCCACTGCACTCCAGCCTGGACAACAGAGCGAGACTCCGTCTCCAAAAAAAAAAAAAACAAAAAAAATTCTTTGGTAAGGAAAGAACATGCTGTACTATAAAATTCAGGAGGGCCCTAAAAACTGTGGTATTAATATTTTCTTTTGTGTTGAGATTCGATTTGTTTTATATTGGATTAATGTTTAGGTATATGTTTTGGATTTTTTTTTGCTTTGTTTTGAAATCATTTCAGACTTACAAAAGAGTTGACAAAAATAGTGAAAGAATTCCTGTTTGTCCTTTACCCAGATTCCCTAAATGATAATATCTTCCATAACCACGTTGTAATTATCAGTTTCAGGAAATTAACATTGATGTAAATACTATTATCAAATTTACAGATTCTATTTAAATTTCGCCAATTGTCTACTAATGGCCTTTTCCTGGTCTAGGATCTGATCCAAGATTACATGTTGCCTTTAATTGTCACGTCTTAGTCTCCTTTGTCTTTTTTAATCTGGAGCAGTTCCTTAGTCTTTATTTTTCTTTTTTTTTCTTTTGTTTTTTTTTTTTTGAGACAGAGTCTCACTCTGTCGCCCAGGCTGGAGTGCAGTGGCACGATCTCGGCTCACTGCAAGCTCCGCCTCCCGGGTTCACGCTCTTCTCCTGCCTCAGCCTCCCGAGTAGCTGGGACTACAGGCGCCCGCCACCACCCCCAGCTAGTTTTTTGTATTTTTTAGTAGAGATGGGGTTTCACTGTGTTAGCCAGGATGGTCTCGATCTCCTGACCTCGTGATCCGCCCGCCTTGGCCTCCCAAAGTGCTGGGATTACAGGCGTGAGCCACCGCGCCCAGCCTTGACATGATTGAAGAGTACTGGCCAGTTTTGTAGAATGATCCTCAATTTAAGGCGCAGTCAATTGATTTGATTCAGAGTAACATAGTCTTCTGCAGTTCTGCTTTGAAATGGTTGAATATACTGAAACATTGCAGAAATATTCTTACCTGTGAATAATAATCCTAGGGGTTGGATGGTTGAGGGACTGGATAGAAATGTAATCATTGGCAGTATCTTTAAGTGGCTCTGTGTTTAGAGTATCTGTTTAATAGGTGCTTATTTTCAAAAATCCTCCCCAAAAAATGTGCTTTTAGGTATGTAATTCATAGAGTCATAAACAGTCCTTTGTAATATCCTCAGAGAGCTTGAAAATGTTTTTATCTTTCTGCAGTGCTGACATTGATGTGTTTTAAATGGGTAGACATTGTGCTATTTGCAAAGCCTTCTATCTAAACTAAGCAGATAATTGTAACATTTTATCTGTGACTGGCTAAAGTTCTTTTAACACCCATATTTCTTAAAGCAAATTGTAAACTATTTTTGCATGAATACAGAATTTTTTTTTTTTTTTTTGAGATAGAGTCTCACTCTGTCACCCAGGCTGGAGTGCAGTGGCATGATCTCAGCTCACTGCAACTTCCGCCTCCCGGGTTCAAGCGATTCTCCTGCCTCAGCCTCCCAAGTAGCTGGGATTACAGGCACCTGCCACCACGCCCGACTAATTTTTTGTTTTTTAGTAAATGCAGTCTTTCACTATGTTGGCCAGGCTAGTCTCGAACTCCTGACCTCGTGATCTGCCCGCCTTGACCTCCCACAGTGCTGGGATTATGGGCATGAGCCACTGTGCCCGACCTGAATACAGAAACTTTTTTGCCTCACCCATCGCCCAGATTGGAATGCAGTGGTGTGATCATGGCTCACTGCAGCCTCAACCTCCTGGGCTCAAGGAATCCTCCCACCTCCACCTCCTGAGTAGCTAGGACTATAGGACTACAGGTGCCTGCCAACACATACGGTTTTTTTTTTTTTAATTTATTTTGTAGAGACAGGGTTTCACTGTGTTGCCCAGGCTGATCTGGAACTCCTGGGCTCAAGTGATCCTCCCACCTCAGTCTCCCAAAATGCTGGGATTATAAGCATGAGCCACCATGCCCAGCCTAAACTCTATTAAAAAAAAAAAAATTGCAAAAATGTGATTTACTGTAAGAGTACTATTTTAAAAATATTAACACGTAAAGAAATATGTAATAAGCTACAATATTTCTTCAAAAAAACCAGTCTTACTCTCCTCTCTGGCATATATTCATTCTCAATTAGCATTTCCTACCCCTTCTCCCTTCCGTTTCCTACCTGACCATAACTTCTAGGGCATTGTTTTTCAAGCTGTGGGTCATAACCCATTAGTGGATCATGAATCCATTTGACTAGCGTTTATTAAAATGAAATAGATTAAAATAGAAAATATCGGAATGTACCACATAGTAAGGGGAAGTATGTCATTAATTTATTTCAGTTATGTATCTTATATATTTGTATGTGAATACAATATCAAATGTTTGAAAGCCACCATTCTAGAGTATTTCATCTATTTGTATCTTGAACCTAATGTTTTTTAAATATGCATGTTGAATAGTTGTTGCATAAATATTTGCATAAAATTTTTAAAACTAGAATTTTGTATATACATGATACTTTGTTGTTTTTTTTTTTTTTAAATCAGTGTTGACCAGGTTGGCTTCAAATGTGTAGCCTCGCCTCCCAGAGTGCCAGGGCAACCGGCCTGGGCCACCAGGGCTCCCAACATGATACTTTGTTTCTAATGTGCATGGCCAAAGGCTACATCAGAGGGAAACCCTTAGTGTTCACAAGTTTTATAACTACTTTTTAAAAATTTATTCTTTGAAGCATTTTCAAAGACTGTTATTGAAGACTATTTTTTTCTCAATGTAATTCATACTGGTTTGTACTAGTTCCTATTACTCTGAAATACTTAGAAAGTATGCCTTTGCATATGTGGTATTAAAAATAAGAGTTGGGGGCTAGGCACAGAAGCTCATGCCCTGTAATCTTATCGCTTTGGGAGGCCAAGGCAGGAGGATCACTTCAGCGCAGCTGGGCACAGTGGCTCATGCCTGTAATCCCAACACTTTGGGAGGCTGAGGTGGGCAGATCACGAGGTCAGGAGTTCGAGAGCAGCATGGTCAATATGGTAAAACCCCTTCTCTACTAAAAAAAATTCAAAAATTAGCTGGGCGTGGTGGCACACGCCTATAGCCCCAACTACTCGGGAGGCTGAGGCAGGAGAATCTCTTGAACCCAGGAGGCACAGGTTGCAGTGAGCAGAGATCACATCACTGCACTCCAGCTTGGGTGACAGAGTGAGACTCCATCTCAAAAAAGAAAAAAAAAAACCACACAGTTGATGACATTAACATGATTGAACCATAAGTTTCTGTTAGCTCTGAAAGTATCAATTTCCAATCAAGCGTTGTAATCTAAGATCTTTTTGTTTTGTTTTGTTTTTGAGACGGAATCTCGCTCTGCCACCTAGGCTGGAGTGCAGTGGCCGGATCTCAGCTCACTGCAAGCTCCGCCTCCCAGGTTCACTCCATTCTCCTGCCTCAGCCTCCCGAGTAGCTGGGACTACAGGCACCCGCCACCTCGCCCAGCTAGTTTTTTGTATTTTTTAGTAGAGACGGGGTTTCACCGTGTTAGCCAGGATGGTCTCGATCTCCTGACCTCGTGATCCACCCGTCTCAGCCTCCCAAAGTGCTGGGATTACAGGCTTGAGCCACCGCACCTGGCCCTAAGATCTTTTTATAAGAATAAAAAATTGTTCTAATATTTTTGAGAAGCTACTTTTCAAAGTTGCACCTGTTACTCTGAGGGCAAAATATAAAAGTTCTGCTTCACCCATGTAAATTTTGAATTTAATGAATTTATCATGAATGTCCTTCTTTGTGTTTATTAATGCAGATAACAAGAGTAATCCACAGACTTAAAACATGAGCTCAGATGCCAGCCAAGGCGTGATTACCACTCCCCCTCCTCCCAGCATTCCTCACAAAGAGAGATATTTTGACCGCATCAATGAAAATGACCCAGAATACATTAGGGAGAGGAATATGTCTCCTGATCTACGACAAGACTTCAACATGATGGAGCAGAGGAAACGAGTTACTCAGATCCTGCAAAGTCCTGTGAGTTGAATTAGAAGGCTGTAATTTTTCTCCCTTTTTAGAAATATTAGTATAATAAGGTAGAAGGTTTCTGAAACTACCCTCAGGTTAAAAGAGGGGTGGAGGAGAGTGGCGACCAGTTGCTTCCAGTCTTTCAAAGGAGAAATGGACATCTAATTTGTGTATTTGATTTGCAGAGCCTTAACAACAAACTAGTATTGTGTTTAGTGGTTTAAATTTTGTGTTTTCGGCCGGGCGCGGTGGCTCAAGCCTGTAATCCCAGCACTTTGGGAGGCCGAGACGGGCGGATCACGAGGTCAGGAGATCGAGACCATCCTGGCTGACACGGTGAAACCCCGTCTCTACTAAAAAATACAAAAAACTAGCTGGGCGAGGTGGCGGGTGCCTGTAGTCCCAGCTACTCGGGAGGCTGAGGCAGGAGAATGGCGTGAACCCGGGAGGCGGAGCTTGCAGTGAGCTGAGATCCGGCCACTGCACTCCAGCCTGGGCGGCAGAGCGAAACTCCGTCTCAAAAAAAAAAAAAAATAAATAAATAAATAAATAAATAAATTTTGTGTTTTCTGGGTATAGCACTTTATTAAAGGAGGATAAACGATTTTATTTAATTCAGGGACACCCAATTCAGACTGAATATGTAAAGAGAAGAAAGGCATGACTCAAGTCATAGGGACCAATAAATAAGTTAGGTATATCCCATGCACTATTTTCTTCTTCCTTTGGATACCTTGACACTCAGAGCAGCATAAGACTTAAGGTTTTTGAGGAAGTCTGTGATTTGGCAGCCTAATATTACATATGCCTACTGCAGGCATATGTGCATACACACTAAATTAACTAAATTAAAAGTGGATTATAGGCCAGGCTCAGTGGCTCACATGTGTAATCCCAGCACTTTGGGAAGCCAAGGCAGGAGGATCACTTGAGCACAGGAGTTTGAAACCAGCCTAGACAGTATAGTGAATCCTTCTCTTTACAAAAAAATTTAAAAATTAACTGGGTGTAGTGGTGTGCACATGTAGTCCCAGCTACTCCTGGGAGGCTGAGGCAGGAAGATCACTTGAGCCCAAAAGGTCAAGGCTGCAGTGAGCCATGATCATGCCACTGCATTCCACCCTGGACCACAGAGTGAGACCTTGTCTCAAAAAAAAAAAAAAAAAATTCAACTCAAGCCGAAAATCCTGTCTGCACAGCAATACTCAGACTTTGTGAATCATATTCAAGTTATCATATTCTTACAAAACCTTAGTGGAAATGTATTAATACATTATGGAAAATGAGAGAACAGCTTGATTTAAAATGCAAAGTGAATTCGTAACTTTATGCATAATGAAGATCATGCACCCCTAAGACAGAGTTCAACACACAGACACATGATGCCTAGGTTAGGGCTATATTAGGTTTCCAACTTGGGTGTCAAAGTTAGCACCAAGGCATAGAGCTGCCTGAAGTAGCCCTGGTAAATCATTTTTGTTATGTCCTTGTGAATTTAATCATAGAGGTGAGCCCAGAACCAAAGGGGAATTCAACTCTGAGTAATTAATTCTCCCATATCAGTGGCCTTGGTGAAAGCATAGAAGTACAAGTTATAAGAACAATGTAAGCTTTGTGTAATTTTATTTTTTTTATAGTGCCCACTTTAAAGAAACTCTTTCCAAATGGGAAGATTCATCAGAAAAGTCATGATGAGAGAGTAAATGTTCAGTGCCTTACTTTATGCAAACTTGAGCATCTAGGTTTATAAAGACTTGAAGAGCACATTAATTATTTAGATCAAAATAGATTTGTTTCCTTCTCTGAAGAAACCCCATTTTTAAGAACTACCTTACTAGACTGGAAATGGTGGCTCATGCCTGTTGTAATCCCAGCACTTTAGGATGCCAAGGTGAGAGGATTGCTTGAGCCCAGGAGTTTGAGACGAGCCTGGGCAACGTAGTGAGACCCGGTCTCTGCAAGAAATTAAAAAATTAGTCAAGTGTGGTGGTGTGAGTCTGTGTCTCATACTTAGGAGGTGAAAGGATTACTTGAGCCCAGTAAATCAAGGCTACAATGAGCTGTGATCACACCATGGCACTCCAGCCTGGATGACAGAGCAAGACTCTGTCTCAAAAAATTTTTTTAAAGAACTTATCAACCAAATGATTGTAAAATGATTGTAGTAACAGATAGCGTGTAGTAACAGATAGCGTATAGTAACTGAAAGAATGAAATGAAGTTTCAGTTTTGGTTAAAGTTGTTAAATATTGAGATTTCTTTAGGAAGTATCTCAAAGAGGACCACTGAATTCTAACTGTAGAGTTTAAATGAAAAAAAGTACAAAACTCCATTTTTATGCCAGGGTTTTTGTCTTATAGTTTACCCATTACACTAAAGGCGCATAATGTTAAGTAGATTAATTTTTTATACTTAATATTTCTATCTGTAAATTGACCTAAAAGTAACAATTTTACTTATGCCTTGGGGAACTTGATGAAATACTGTGAAAGGGCAAACACATAGTTTATCATTTCCTTATTCACTTAACAAGAGTGATCATTTTCTGCCCAGAGAGGAACAAAGAAGGCTGAGATTTAAAAGAATTGAAAGTTGATATTTTTTTTCCTAGATCTTGGCTAATGAATTTAAAATCTTCTTTGTGAAAGACTTAGGAAAGTATATACATTTTGTCTTCCTGCCATATTTTAGGACAGTGATTTTTAAGTTTCTTTTAATGCAACAGAAACTTCACCAAGGGAAATGATGCTTGGTGGCTTGTGTTAGTTATCTACTGCTAAAATAACAGATTATTCCAGAATTTAGCAGCTTAAAGCAAGTATTCATTATCTCACCATTTCTGTGGGTCAGAAGTTTAGGAGCAGTTTAGCTGGCTCAAGTTCTCTGATGAAGTTGCAGTCAATATGTTAGCCAGGGCTGCTGTCATTTGAAGGCTTTACTGGGGCTGGAGTATCCACTCTGAAGATGGATCACTCACATGCTGTTGGCAAAAGACCACCATTCCTTGCCATGTGGACCTTTTCTAAAGCTGCTTGAGTGTTCTTCCCCAGAGCAAGGATCCAAGAGAGAGCAGCCTGCAGTGCTGCTTTAGAACTAATCTCAGACATCACACACTATCACTTCTACCATATTTATTAGTTAGAAGTGAGTCATTTAATTCTCACTATGCTCCAGGGGAGAGAAATTAAGCTCCATCTTTTGAGGAGAGAATTGTCTACTCTCTGGTTACTATTTAGAGACAGGGTCTTACTTTGTTGCTCAGGCTAGTGCACAGTGGCTGTTAACAGGCACAATCATAGCACACAAAATCCTGTGCTCAAGCAATCCTCTTGCCTCACTCAGCCTCTTGAGTAGCTGGGACTACAGGTATGTGCCACCATGCCTGGCAGGTCACAATTTATTTTAAAGGAGCTGCAGTCCTTCCGCTACAATTTATTTTTCTTCCTCCTACATGCAAAATACACTCATCTTCTCCTAGCACCTCCTAAAAAGTCTTATCCCACTCCAACATTAGCTTGAATCTAGAATCTCATCTAAATGTGCTCCAGCTGCAGATGATCCTCCTCAGGGTGTAGAACCTTAAGTACAGGTCCTGTCAATCTACTGATCTGTGAAATAAAGATTCATGTTATCTGCTCCCCAGTGGCAGGAGAGGGCGTAAGATAGCTGCTATAGACATTCCTCTTCAAAAAGGAGAAAATTGGGAGATACAAAGGAGTCACTGGTCTAAAGCAATTGTAAATCCATCTGGACAAATGTTTGGAAGTTTTTTGATTAGGACTCAGTCCTGCTGTTTACCAGGACTGAACCTCCCTGGTGCTTGGCTCTGACCACTAGGTTCTTGGTTCCACTGTCTAAATCATCCTCCTTTTTCTTGAAAGGTAACCCGTGTTTGCCACTTTGTGTTTTTCTTAATCTGCTTTCTTCTTAACAGAAGTTTTAGGGGTCCAAAGGCCCCTTTTCCTTTTATACTGTCTTTGTTCCTTTCAGCCCAAGCTTACAGTGTTTCTGCTGATACAATTCTTTTAAAAATTTTGTGAGTCTCCTGTAAATATTGGGATTCACTCTGTTAGACAAAATCCATAACCAATAAAGATTAAAATCAGATTTTACTAATTCATGTTTGTAAGCGACAAATTTGTACACCTTCTATTTAAAACTCTCGGTTAATTTAGGTAGAAGGGAAATCAGGAGAGAAATTAATAAAAGCAAAGTATAATACTTTTTTATTAAACACTTACTATGTGCCAAGCACCTATTATGTGTCTTTAATCCTCAAAGCAATTCAGTTAAAGAATTATTAAGATGCCTAGGTTACAGATGCGTAAACTGAAACTTAGAGACATTAAATAACTTGCTGAAGTTTTACAGCTTAATTAAATGATGTGGTCAGAATTTAAACTCCAAAGCTCACACCTGTAATCACTAGGCTGTACAACTTATAGCATTCAGTGACAACAAATTCTGCCTATATGTTTTTATATCATCTTATCTTCAAAGCCTGATGCTCAAGTTAATTCAACACAACCTAGAAGAGTTTATAATCACAAGACATTTTGGTGTAAATGTAAATTTGGATGACAAAAATCACCCCTTTTTGCCTTGAGCTGAGAAAATAACAATTTTTCTTATTCTGGCCCTCAGGTATTACTTATTTCTAGGAATTTCACAACCTTTTTATCATATTTAAATTTTTAAATAAAATATTTATCTTAGAAATCAAATACCACTTGGTAAATTAATTTGGCTTGAAATTTTGTTGCAGTAGAGAAAATCCACAAGTTCTCTGTGTCTGCTGTACTCGTATATAACGTCTGTGGAGACCTTAAATTGTAATTTATCCCCTTTTCTCAAAATGAAGTGTCCAGGACAAACTCTTGGAATTAAGCGATGCCTTTTCAAAGTTAAAGAAGCATATAAGTTGAAAAACTAAGCAATAGCACATTGAACACAAGAGATAGTTATTAAATTCTGAATGCATGGATAAACGGATAGTGAATAGCTGGGTG